GCCTGGTATGATTAGTGAAAACTTCAATGTTTTTGATCGCTCAAATTTTTTTTGACATTTTCTTGTGACATTTTTGGTTTTCGGTTTAATTGACGTTATTGGCTTAGTGAACCCTTGCAAATAGTGAAAGCTTGTTCAATGCTAGTGGCTGTTTGTCGTCTGTTTTTCAGAGATTAAACTTATACGTATTTCAAAAAATAATGATTTTTATGATGACCGTTTCCTTTGGTGTTTTTGATGCTCGGAAAATATTCCATGATTTTTTTCTCGTATTTTGAGTTTTTCAAGTTTTTCTTTCCACTGAGTTATTTCCATCTCACCGAAAGTTTAGTAGCTTGCAATGATACGCTTTCTTTGTATCGCAAGTGATGCTGAGCTCTGCTTCGCCTCTGTGTTAGCTCTTCCCCCACCCCTATGCATGTATTAATTTTGACAATCATTTCTGTATAAAATATGCCTTTCAAAAATGTCAACAATTAATTGGGTTTTAATTTTCACGCGTTCGTTTTTCTATTACTCTTTCATATAATACCTACATTAGAATGTTATTTAAATATCTGAAAATTGTTTAATTTTAATTTCTGAAAATTGTTTTAAACTAATGGAAATGTGACGGCCAGAATTTCTGAAAATTGAAATAGTTAACAAGATCCGATAAGCATTTTTTTTTCGGTTTAATTAATATCCAACAAAATTTAAACAGATCTTTTTTCATAGTTAACTTCGTTAGATTCTTCCTTAGCACATTTTTATCTGTTCATTATTTTCTTCGAAAATATTTTAGAAATTCGAGTGTTTTCGAAATGAGAACTATAGCTGAAATGGAGGCAGTTGGTCAAATGTTTCCTCCTAAATCGGATGAATATATCTGGGTGAACTTCAACGACATAGTTCTTACTGCGTCTGTGGAAGGATCAGACAAACCGCCTTTTATTCAATCGACATACATGGGGAGCCGCTCCACACTTGAAAAGGGCTCTTTTTTCATATACTGCAAAATTTATGATGTTTTATGAAAATTCTTATTTGTTAAGCAATCTGTTGAAAGTCGTAGCGGGAAATTTCAATTTTCAGGTATTTTTTTCTCGCCCCGGTCCGAAATACTCTCCAGCTTTTTTGCCGGATTAAAAACCTGGCGCTCCAATACACTCCTGATTCAAATTATCCGGACAAAAGAATTAATATGGTGCAGAATTAAATTAGCAGAATTAATATGGTGAAATTTATTTTGGAAAACTCGAACCCAAAATTTTACTCCAAAAACGGGACATTTTGGGCTTTCGTATTCAATCAAAAATTACGCCAAAACTACCGGTTGAATGGTTGATAATAATATATCGCAGTGAGACTCTTATATAGCCCAACAAAGCTTAAGTATGGTAACAGCTTCTCAGTTTTGCGTAAAAAGTTAACTATCATTTGATAGCTAAAAATGTCAATTTTACCTCATGAAGTACCAATTTTTTATTTAAAAACGGATTTTTGTATATGTTTTGCGCTAATTTTTGGAGATTATAACCTTCTTTAACTCTGTTGTGCTACGTTAGAGGCCCACTTTGATATAATTAGGTTAGCGTTCGGCTCAGTAGTTTCGGCGTTGTCTTTGATCGAAAAAAGTCTTAAAATGATCCATCATTAAAGGGTAAAGTTTTGGATCCGATATTTGCAAGATTATTTATCAAGATGTTAGTATTATCAGCAGATTATTATCACCATATTAATTCTGCTAAATGTTTGAGCTACGAAAGCTCTTATTTTTTTCTCTGCTGTGAAACATCGATTTTCAGTTTAGCCGTTGTTTTAAAAAAGTTACACAATATAAAGTTTGAAATTTAATTTGTAGCTTTACGCAATTGAAGATTCAAGAAAATTAAGAGACATTAGTTTGGAAAAAATGAATTCAATTTTGAATTTTTTTTTGCACAAAAACCTACAAAAAACAAAAAAGAAGGAAAACGGGCCTGCGGCAGCTGCCGGATGACTTTTGGGATCCTTATCACCATATGACTGGCTCTGTTCGGCGTCGCAATGAAGGAGAACACTGCGGTTTAATTCGAAAAATTCCCAAAAGTCGTTTTCATGACTGGTTTTGTGACGGAAAGCCGAACGTCCAGGTACCTAGGAGTCTGGTTTGTTCAATTGAAGCTACGACACTGACAGAACACATTGAAACTTTAGACGAAAGCGCGTGATCTGCCCGGAACCCGATTGATAGTCTACAATCAACAGATTGAAAACAGAATGTCTAGAAATTTAGTTGGGCTGGGTAAATCTGTTGGGCTGGGATAATAATCGATTTTGTTAAGTTGAATAGCTTGAAAGGATTTTTTGAATATCAAACTTTGAGCGAATCAGTTCAGCAAAAAAAAACATCTATCAATGGCTTTAATAAATTGTTTCCAGTATAGGTTCACATTGATAAATATAATTTTTATAAATGACCTTTTGAAAGAACCCAATCTGGGAGATTGTCCTTAGATGATTTCTGCCTGTTTTCAGACGTCTCTGAAATGGCTTCGAGAAAGACATGAAACAATTTTGACAATTTCGGAAATTGTTGACGAAAAATTGCGTTTTTTGCGAGCGCCCCTCTCCAAAATTAGTATGTGTGGGCGCCAAAGGCGCCTCTAGAAAAGTTTTACGATTGGTCGGCTGAAAATGGATGTCATAAAATAGTATTAAAGGGGGACCTTTGGTCGATGAGGGGGTCGAATCCATGAGAGAAGGGAAATCATACGCTGCCCCCCCCCCCCTAAATCTTCCCCTGTCGGCGCGTAATATGACGAAATAATGAATGTCTTCAGTTTTAAATGTTTGCTTATTTGATATGGCCTCATTGTAATAAAAAGTACTTAATAACCTAAGTTTTGGGCCTTAGTCATTCTTTTGATCATTTAATAAAAATTAATAAGGAATTGAATTGGAATTGAAGCAAAAGTTTTTCGAAAAAAAAAATGAAACTGTTTTTTTTTCAACTTGTACAAAGCGTTTTCCTACTGGTTACCTAACTTTTAAGCAGTTGCTAATTTGCTTCTAATCGGAGCATAAATGGAACTATTATGAGCTACAAAGCATTACATCATGGCTAACAGCCCTCAATTTTGGCTAGACTGGTCTTCAGTTCTGGCTGGGGTCTAAGTAATGCTTTCGAACGAAGGTTTGGCTAGATGCCACATCCGTTGACCCAGTTTCGACTAATTAGGACAATCGTCTGGCTGATTATAGGTCTCGTTTGGTTTACTGTGGCGTAAGACGGCTTAACGAGGTTTCCGGCTAAAATAGACTGTTTTTCGTTCGGATACATTAATGGGCTTTTGTCCGGGCGCAACTTCGTCGGGGCACAGTTTCGTCCAGATAAAACTTCGTCCAGATCGAATGACGCCCGAGTAGTTCGTTTTGCATCCGGATAAAACTTTGTCCCGGTCGGCGGACCAAGTTATCTGCCGCTCGGTTACGGCTCGGTTTTTTCGCTTTTGTTTGTAGAAAAAGTCGTGTAAATTCACAGATATTTGTTGGTAAAAGTAAAAGTAATCAACCAGTTTGGGTCAGCTTTAGACTATGAACGATACGTGGTGGAAACCTATTAAATTCACAGCAAGAAACATCAATTAGCTTTTTGTTACTTTTTTACTTTTGTATTCATCTCCGCACAAAGATTTACCACAAACCAAAATGTTAGAGAATTACACGTAAAAAATGAAAGGGCGCTGCCCGGTTAACTTCATACAAAAAATGCTAGTCACACAATTTCATGTAAAAAGCTCCTTAAAAGTTCTATTTATTCTCATAGTATGACCTTAGTCGTGAAGTTAAAAAGATGTCAAAATGCTTATCACAAAGTTTCGTAGAATAGCTAAAATTTCAATCGTAGGGTTATGTACCTTTTTCTAGACGTATGAGTATCCTAATCCCTAGTTTGCAATTGTAATTCGATTTTTTCAACCCGTGGTATTTTGCTGAGCTAACATTACATTACAGAATTAAATCACTAATATGTAACTATCTGCTCAAAAAGGACGTCAACAAAAAGATGTGATTTTCTGAACAAAAATCATGGATTAAACTTTAAAATACTTGAAGCATTACGAGGCCAAACTGTGCATTCTCTGCATTGTAAGCGGAATTCGCAACAGGCAAAAATCAGATTTGTCGCGTAATCCGCAACGTTGCTACTTTTCTTTGATCTTCGTATGAGACTTCAATGAGATTCCTCGTAATTAGACTTCAAAAAAATTCAAACAATAAATTCTTAGCCAGAAAATTTTGAAAATTTTGAATAATATAATTGGCAATTAATTCATAAAACGGAATAAATTCAAAAACAAACTACCAAAGTCCACCGCAACCAACCCAAATTGACCAAAGGCAGCCAACGTTGGTCAAGATCAACAAAAACTGCCAAAGTTGACAGGGGACGTTAAGAGCATTTTCGACCGACTGTGTCCAGAGAGGGTTAATGTCGACCCTTCGTGTGATTCATGTAACCGCAACCTCACCCTGGGTCAAAAAATTACTTAGATGAGCCCTCTTTAATAAATTGATGTTACAATTTGAGAAACTTGCCATGAGAAAGAACCATTTCAGTACATCAAAACGCCCTCTTATCTGAATTATTCTTCAGTTCTGTTTAACTGCTTCTGACAGAAATAAAGGTCACGACCTTCTTTTCAAGTTCCTCTGTGAAAAGTCGCTCAAGGTTGTCGGACGCTTTAAACAACAATTTATCTTCATCTTTATCGCCAACACCATCATACTGCCCGCCTGACTTATGATCCTAATCCGTTACAGGAATGTTGTAAGTCTATCACGCGATGGCTATGTTTATAACAACCTTGGTTTATAATAAAGTAAAAGTCAAGGTCAGATATTTATATCACGCCAGGTGGGAGAGTTTGTAATCTATTTGTACTAACCGATCAGTCAAGTTTGATGAACAAGAGTTTGTTTGCTTATCTGAAAACTTTGTAATCTATGTTTGGAATGAAGTAGTTGACTTTGGAAACGTTCTTTGTAAAATCACTTTTAAAGCAAACTTGCTTCTCAATAGTTGATAGTAATTGACTAGTAAAAAAATTAGAATAGTAATTTAAGTTACAAAAGTAGCAGAAATAGAATAGATCTCCAATTTCTAATATTGAATAGATTTAATATCGAACTTTTAAACTTCAAAAAAGTTGCAATAATTTCGAAGCACACAGAATAAATATTCAATTTGAAACTATGCCTGTTCCTTCTAACGTTCAAAGCGCAATCATCAGCATCAAGCAATCACTGAAAGGTAACGTGTTAAAAAAACTCATGATGAGCTTTTTCAAAAAGGAGAAGAAACTTATTGTTTTATTGGTTCGGATAGCACGTAAAGTAAGTGTTTTTGCTGAATTTCAAGTTTCCTTGAAATACACCAAAGATCAAAGATATGCTAAAAATTCAATACAGTTCGGAATAATTGTAGATTTTGGATTCAAGAATCAGATAAAGTCAAACCAACCTCAACAATTAGCTTCCAAAAACTGTTTTAGCGGCCTTTATTTAATCAATCATGCCAATTGTTTTTTTTCATGGTTAAAGGGAAGCAACTGGTTCTGTTCCTGGACTATGATGGGACTCTGGCAGAGATTCAGAGTGAGCCAGACAACACCTACATGAGCAAAGACATGAAGAGAGTACTAACCGATGTCAGCTGTCTAGAGGTGAGCAGAAATAAAATCTGGATCGCTTTAATATCTTCTTTTCCCCCAGTCCCCAATCCCAAACCTTACCTGATCACCCTACTGTTCTCATTTCCCTAGAACTAACCTTCAACCGTAAAAAGATCAAGAAAAGAAGGAATTTTTGAGACCCAATGAAGAAATATCAAAATATCGAAATGTAATGACATACATGTTCAGATGAGCTTTACATCAATGCCTGCCCATCAGTTTGTTACTAGTGAGTTTTCAGCTAATTACACCATTGTTCAAGGTTGAAATTGCAATTAGGAGCAAGGTATTTTCAGGATGTAATTGTGGTTCCGATCAGTGGCCGCAAAACAGAAGACCTCCGCGACCGAATCGGCATCAAAGACATAGTCTACAGTGGCAATCATGGACTGGAAATGAGTGGTCTGGATAGACCGCAGCAGAGTGGGGGGAAGCCGGGCAAAATGGAGTACAATTTAAATGAGGAAGAATTGAGCAAGTTGAGAGGAGGCATTAAGAGTATAGTGACGGAGATGAAAGAGAAGAAATTGGGAAAAGAGGTAAAGAATAATGACCCTCTTAATGAAACTATCAAAACGAATGCCATTAGAAAAAAGACATGTACAAGTGTCTGATCCGAAGGAAGCGACAAAATTGTTTTCTAAAAATTAAACTAAATCACAATCAAAGTTTGTCTAGTGTGGTTACAATAAAAAGTGGAAAAATTAAAAAGATTATAACCCTAATTGAGATTAAAAAACAAGACTAGGGAAATTTTAGATGTTTTAAGTTTTATTTTTTGTTTCAGGTGGGTGGGAACATAGAGGACAAGGACACAGCCATGACGTGGCACTTCTTCAATGTGCCCCCCAATGATGTGGAGCAGACTGTGCAGAGGGCGTGCTCTATTGTGAAGAAGAACGGGCTGCCTGTGTTCGACGGAGAGGGGTGCATCGAGGTAGATACTAACTACTGTCACTTATACTTCTCAACTAATACAGAAATACAGTAGTATTAGTATTTTTAAAATATAGTGTAGTTTAATAATACTAGTAGTTAAAAAATTATTAGTTTTATAATACTATACTAATAATGAAAAATAAATTGATAGTTTCAAATCATAAAAACAACAAAATGATAAAATGATCAATATAAAAAATAAAATAATGTAATTAAAAGACAAATAGTCTTCATTTTAACACCTGTATATCATTATTGATTTTTAGTGAAGACCATTTCGAATCATTAGAGCGTTAGCCTGAGAGATCGTCACCAGACCTTTGGGTTCGTTTTCAGTGGTCTCTAGTTGTTTCTTTTTTCATATATCGAGAAAAAATTGAGAGTAAATAATACAGCCAAAATATAAACCAACCGAAAATGCGCGGAGTATATAAGCCGGCCAAAAAGTTACATCATATGGATGAAATTTGCATAACTTTCGTTACACCACTTACGTATTTTTGGCTAGTTGATACTTCGACTGGCTTACATACCACCAAAAAATAACTGGAAAAGCAAAATCAAAAAGCTCTAAAATTTAAGATAACTGCATCCACAAACTTAAAAACAGAAGTTTCCACTATATTTTGTTGAATTGTTTCATATTTTGCTTCACTTGGTTATTGAATTTACGAAAATAACAGTGAAATCTTAGAATTGCTCTGCGGAAAACTCCTTTATGATCTGTGGAAAGCTCAATATCTGTGGAAAATTCGAAATTGCATATTTTTTTATCTGTTAAATTTGAATTTGATGGTGTTTTCATTTTAATTCTGAAACATTTCTAATTTTCTGGAAAAAATAAAACTAACCTAAAACAATAGTCACAAAATTTTTTTTCCACTTGTGGAGTTTTTAAAACACTTCCTGACATAGAACCGCTTTGAAGACGAAGCGCACAAAATGATGGAAAATCTGGACATTGCCTTGTACAATTTTTCTACTCAAAAGATATGGACATTAGATATGGACATTACAAGAACTTTATAAAACATTATAAGAACACGCCACGTTGATTGCAAACAAACCGGTGCATGATTGAAAAAACTTTGATCAAATATGCAAAACTCAGCTTCTTAATGGATGAATTCATTTATTTGGTTTGATAATAGATTTCAATTAGAGGGCGTAATTTAGATCAAATAACAATTTCAATGACCGCAAACGAAATGTCATTAAATTGTTTGTTCTTGAATTTGAATTTTATTATTAGATTTGATCAAACCAGTAGGATTTGATATCAAACAAGAACTCAGATGACCTTTCGGTAAAGCTTTATTGAAAGTTTTTAGTTTGTTCACAAATAATGTAATCTAAATTGTAGTTTGTTCACAAATAATGTGTTTTGAAAGTCAAAGCTGGATCAGAATTAATTTTGAGTCCAGAAAATGGTTTAAAAGTCGTACTGGGTTGTATGTTGAAAATATCTTCTAAACAATTGAAAAGCACTGCAAATATTGCTCCTTTGTTTTCTTGGAAAATATATAGAATGATATGTTAATTAATTCATTATAATGATGAAACAACTTATTCAAGCTCTGAACAACCTAAAGAAGTGTACTTATTTTTTTCATTGCCAATTCTTGTTTTTAGTTTTAAATGTATTCTCGATTGGTCGGTGATGCAGTCTAAAAAATACTCAGAAAAACTCATGTTCTTTCAGGTGAGGCATCCTAAGATCACTAAGGGTTACGCCATGAAGAAAATCCTCCGGGAAAAACTAGGCGAAAACTGGCACGAAACCCACAGTGCAATCTTCATCGGAGACAGCTCCACTGACGAAGAAGGATTCGCAACTCTTCTAGAAGATTCCGGCTTCCGAAGTGATTGCGTCACTTTCATTAAAATCCAAACGGACAACTCGAAGCCGACGCGCGGAAAGCATATCTTCAGTGGCCCTGATGATGTTTACACACTTTTGTGCGAGTTGAACAATTACTATTTGCATTCGGCTATTGTGAATTAGGCTTGAAACTAGATTTATCCATCTTTTGTTGTAAATGTTACATGTAGTACATTACTTTTTGATAATTTAATAGTTTTAGCTAGCTATAGTTATTGTTTGATGCTTTAGGTTTCGTATAAAATTTAAAGGTTTCCGATTCAATTGTTTTCAAAACAATAATCAAGTTACATGATTGAAGTCTTTGACTTTTCCCGTACCTAGTAAATTTTGTAAATCAGATCTGAAATAATCTTTTTCAGATCTAAATTTCAGATCTGAAGTAGGTTATGAAATGTTTAAATAACGCTGGGATACTTTAAGGATTGGTTGATTTCTGATCTGAAACTTTGTTTTTCAAGGTTATTTCATAGCTGAATTTTTTTTTTTCAGATCCAAATTTCAGATCTGAAATTTCAAAATTCTTATCGAGAAAGTTAATTACGAATTTCAGATCTGAGAATCAACTTATATAGGAAATAAAGAAACTCAGATCTTGCACAGAAAATCCCCAGGATACGGGTTTGGAATTTAACTAAATAACTGTTTAGTTAGGCATGAGTGGTGTTGGGTTTTCCGATTTTTAAAAATATTGCAGAATTTTTTCTCAATTTTTTTAAATCAGTATAATAGGAAAAAGAAAATTGTTTCCACAAAAATCAGGTGTGTAAAACACCTTTTCAACATTTTGAGCAATGCATAATTATCATTCAAAAATTTTGTCGTAATCGCTGCTTTTTTCTACATTTTACTCTAAACTTGTAAATGTTTCAGCCTAAATGTAAAATAATGCAAAAATATACTTTCAATTGACTGAACTTTTATTTGAAATAGGCTAATTTGTCCACTTTTTGATGTAAAGTGGAACCAGTTCTGAACTAGTATTTATAAACCAATTATATTATTGATGAAACTATCACTACTAAATATTTCTAACTAACCAATCATATTCCATCTCTAACATTGACACTTATTTGTAAGTGCTGAAACTACTTGTAGCTTCAGCACCAGAACAATTTGAACAAAACTTTGAATACAGTTGTTCTCCTTCTGGATAAACTCCAAGAACTAACTCGTTAAAACCAGTATACACTAGATCTATTTAGACTAGGAGATATAAGAGTAAGATTAAGATTGGTATTAGACTAAGAAGTTGCACGAATCTATCCGGTCGAAAATAAATAAGCGTGACAAACAGACGGTGTACTTTATCTGAAATTACTCTATGAGTACAGGCCAAAGGTGTACTGGTGTTGGGTTTTCCGATTTTTAAAAATATTGCAGAAATTTTTCTCAATTTTTTTAAATCAGTATTCACAGCTTCCATAACTCAAATGGACGATAAATTAATAATAAGCCGTTTTAGGTACAAGTTGATGAAGAGTTAGAGCTTAAATATGATTAATTAAACCCTAGTGAAACTTAACATGATATCTGCAAAAGTGAGCTCTTTGTAAGACTCGGTTTTTGGAACATTAACTTGTTTTGCTGCTCAATTTCCATTGTAAATGCTTTCGATTAAAAAGGAACATCACTTGAGAAAAAATGAAATTGAAGCTGTTAGTTTAACGCAAAACCAGTACTTTAACGCAAAAAAGAATCATAACCATTACTCTTCTTAATTCCCAAATTGAAGGCTAACCCCATTAAAATTGCCTAAAATTCTGTAGACCAGTTTTTTTTTGCAGGAAGCTGTGAATCAGTGGTAAGAAATGTTTCTGCAAACAAACCCAGTGCTGCTTCATCTCTTTCACAGCAACAGTACAGGGCATTAATCCTCGAACTTGAAATGAAAATTGTAAGGAAGCTTTTGTTTTTTTTCTTTGGTAAAAAAAGTAAATTCGAAAGTTCGGTCCTTAGTTCGGTTCTCAAGTCCGTTCATAAGAGGAAACTAAACTTAACGCTAGCTAGACAAAAAGTTTTTTCTGTTTGACGATCAGACAAACAAGTTTAAACCAATTCTACACAAAAAAACGGGCTGAGAAGTTCCATGATAGCAAACCGAAGGACCGTCTCAAACAGTCTTTAATCCTCGCCAAACTGGTGTCCCTAATTTCTAGTTTTTAGTTTAGACTAGTCGGTTTACTGGTTATTCTATTTATTTTTTCTATGCGGCAAGTGACTCAGTTGGTTCTATTTCATCATCGCTGGTTTTTGAGGATAAAAGAATTTAACATAATGGTTTCTAGGTCAAACTGATTCAGCTGGAAAAAGTTGCCGTTTTCTGGGGGAAGAGCTTAAGAGTAACAGTAAATGATAATTAAACTGTGCTAAACTTGACAGGCATAATTCATTGCGATTGGTCTGAAAAGTCTTTCTTTTCAGTCCAATCATAATGAGTTATGCATGTAATGCTTAACGCAGTTTATTTCTTGCTTACTGTCACGCTTCAGCTGGAAAGTCCTCCTCCCCAGAACGGGAATTTTTTCAAAGATGAACCAATTTGATCTAAAACTCATTGCCAAACTCTTTTAACCTCAAAAAGGGCTCTTTTCGAGTTTCCCCCGAGTTACGCTGTAAAGTATGAACAACAAATCCGTTCACAGTTGTCGATTCTTTCACCACACCAAATTTCATTGCATTACCACCGCATACCATATTTTTATTATAAAAAATTCATTTCGTAGATATCCTTTCACAACGATTTTGTTTTTGGGATACCGCCGTTCCATGTTAATTAGAATGTAGCCACAATTTAGTACAAATTGATCACGAAAAAGTAAAAGAGTATTTATGAACACCATATACTACATTGACGCCTCAAATAAAAGAAATTTTCGCCCGAAAGCTTTCGCGCAACAGCTGGAAACCCGAGTTTTGATTTACAATCAACCGAAATTTTGTAATCAATCGAAAAAAGATATCCAACAGCAATTACATTTCAGAAAGGTTTTATTATCCTACAAGCAAAGCTTAAACTCTTGAGATTTTAAGTCTCACTTCCTAAAGGAGTATTCAAAACCTGTGCAATTCATACACACGTTAATCGACGAGCAAGCCTTACCCAGCATACTCTTTGCAATACGTCTTTGCTTTGGAATTTTTTCATGTTATATACATAAAATCCTAGTGAACGCAAAAATCAATAAACCAAAATTAAATATTGAATTCAAAAAAATTAAATACATATGACGATACACACAACACATCGCAAACTCCAACAGCATCATTAAAAAAACAAAGTTAACGAAATCTTCATCACTTACAAGTTTTTATACCCTCAAACTACAGGCCAACATTTTTCCTAGAAACAATTTCTAATAACAAAACTGATCAAAACAGTAACCAAATGTTCTTATTATATGTCAACCAGAAAATACAAACGAGCAGATAATTGAATAACCTCATAAATCGTTCTCAAACTTTCGTTCTTAAAACGAAAATCGTTTCAGTCAAGTTGGAGACCCCTTGGATACCTCTATCGATCTTTTTCTGAACCCTCTGTGTTTCATCGCTCAGCTTTTTTCGCTCCTACCAAGAACCTTCTACAATCGCCGCAACCGGTACTTCTTTCAACTTTTTCCACTACATCATCAAAGAATTTCACATGCAATTTGACAATTCAACACAAACCCCATTTAACTTTTGCGATTTTTTAGAAACTTCAGAAGAAGAAATCTCACCTGAATTTTTAGACACCCAAAACAGTCACGCCATAAATGTTTCCACACCAGTATTTCCTCTATCACTTCCCAGTTTCTGGTCATTACCTTTGTTCAAATTTCTAGTTCTTCCTTTGGTGATGCCACCCACTTCTATCGCCATTTTTCCACCCCCTTGAAGATACTCAAAGATTTATTTTCGACGACCAGCATGAAACAGGCAATTTTATCCAACAGCAACAATTAATCCACGAGGATAACGCACCAATAACAATTCAACGGTTAACTCATTCCGCTGCAAGGACTACTATAACGTCTAGCACTAATACTCCACACCGGGCCGCGCGCATTCTCAACAAACGCAGAAATCAATCAAACGTCCCCAGAAATTTATAAAATCGTACAACTAAATCACGACTACAAAGAGGGATCATTCACAACAGACTAACATGCATGAAATTTTAGTTTTCTTTTTGTGCAACAATCATTCGCGAATCATTAACTTGTTTTGCTGCTCAATTTCCATTGTAAATGCTTTCGATTAAAAAGGAACATCACTTAAGAAAAAATGAAATTGAAGCTGTTAGTTTAACGCAAAACCAGTACTTTAACGCAAAAAAGAATCATAACCATTACTCTTCTTAATTCCCAAATTGAAGGCTAACCCCATTAAAATTGCCTAAAATTTTGTAGACCAGTTTTTTTTAGGAAGCTGTGAATCAGTGGTAAGAAATGTTTCTGCAAACAAACCCAGTGCTGCTTCATCTCTTTCACAGCAACAGTACAGGGCATTTATCCTCGAACTTGAAATGAAAATTGTAAGGAAGTTTTTGTTTTTTTTCTTCGGTAAAAAAAGTAAATTCGAAAGTTCGGTCCTTAGTTCGGTTCTCAAGTCCGTTCATTAGAGGAAACTAAACTTAACGCTAGTTAGACAAAAAGTTTTTTTCTGTTTGACGATCAGACAAACAAGTTTAAACCAATTCTACACAAAAAAAACGGGCTGAGAATGCTAAGTGGGGCTGAACTCCCTTGTGCTAAAAAGTTCCATGATAGCAAACCGAAGGACCGTCTCAATCGGTCTTTAATCCTCGCCAAACTGGTTTCCCTAATTTCTAGTTTTTAGCTTAGAATAGTCGGTTTACTGGTTTTTCTATTTATTTTTTCTATGCGACAGGTGACTTAGTTGGTTCTATTTCATCCTCGCTGGTTTTTGAGGATAAAAGAATTTAACATAATTGTTTCTAGGTAAAACTGATTTAGCTGGAAAAAGTTACCGTTTTCTGGGGAAGAGCTTAAGAGTAACAGTAAATGATAATACAACTGTGCTAAAGTGGACATGCATAATTCCTTGTGATTGGTCTGAAAAGTCTTTCTTTTCAGTTCAATCATAAAGAATTATGCATGTTATTCTAAACGCAGTTTAATTCTTGCTTACTGTCACGCTTCAGCTGGAAAATCCTCCTCCCCAGAACGGGAATTTTTTCAAAGATGAAACAATTTGATCTGAAACTCATTGTCAAACTCTTTTAACCTCAAAAAGGGCTCTTTTCGAGTTTCCCCCGA